TTTTTTTTTTTAACTGAGGTAATGTTGGGACACCCTCATCAAGTGTTATTAAGTCATTCTGATGTTTGTTTTCCACATCAGTCTCCAGTACTTAGCCCAAACCTAATAAGCTCTGAGGTACTCTTGCTGAACTTTTAAAGTCCATTCAGAATTTCTAACTTTAATGTTCACTATAGCAGCTCATTACCTGCCCTATCTGACAGACTGGCTGCCACTAACTACATAGTCTATTTAAATTAAAATGCAGGGTCACCCTGGTGGCCTATGGGTTTATCTCAGTTCCATTACTACTGAGGCCTGAGTCTGATCAGCCAGAGAGCTAACTCACATATGGTGCAGGAGACCTATTGTTTTGCCTGCTGCTCCCCTCAGCAGTGTATTTCAGTGGATCCTCCCATTGTGCTGTCCATTCTGTCTCTGGTAAATCTTCTCATGCCTCCTCCTGGCACTTCTGGCCTACACCACAGTTCTTCTGTGCATAAATAAATGTTAAAATGTAGTTAAAGAAAACTTCATTTCCTCAGTCACATTAGCCACCTTTTGAAGTGTTCAAAAATCACATTTGTGACCAGTGGCTTTCACAGCTCATGTAAAGAACATTTCCACATTAGCAGAAAGTTCTACTGAGCAATGTTCATCTAAGGTATCCCAATAATAACATTTCTATGACCATATACACACACTACAAAGAGAAAGACAGAACAAGAGGATCAAAGTGAAATACTCTTAAGGAGAATCTTCTCAAGATCGTTTTTAAAGAGCACAAAAGAAAAAAAAAGAAAATTTTAAAATGGAATCCTGATTTTCCAACATTATCCCCAGTTACTACTGGACATATTTCAGAATTTTTATGCTTTCCATTAAGCATAAATCTCATGCTTTTTAAGTATAGAAAGGACGAAGAAATAGAAATAGAGCCTCCTTGATGGCACAGAAGTTAAAGCACAGCACTATGAAGGTATCTGCAGCCACTGCACCAGGAGCTCAGTCCCCAGCCAGGGAGCTGACCCGCATGGTACAGCAGACCTCTCCTGTCTTGCCCACTGCTCCCCTCAGCAGTGTACTTCAATAGATCCACCTGTTCTGCTTCCCACTCTGTCTCTAGTAAATCACTCCACGCTCCCCTCCTACACATCAGGCCTGTAACCCAGTTCTTGTATGCATAAATAAATAACCCTTAAAAAAAAGCAATAGAAATACTTTCACTTTCTAACTGTGAATACCAGCCTAGAACACCAGGTTTCTCTCTATCCTGTATACAAAATTTAAGTTCCCAAAGAGGTAAATATATATTTTTTTTAATAGATGGTTCTATTCGCAGTACCTGGCTATATAGGAAGTGCTTAATAAATATCTGCAGAATGAATGAGTAAATGTTATCTTTTCCTAGGAACAGATACCCAGTCTGAAGGAAAATGTTACCATTTCTAAGCCACTTTCAAATCTTAATTGTCACAAGCTTATGCTGTCTTTCTTCCAGTCTTTGCTGGGTGCCATTTCCTATCTCCAGAAGCTCTTCCCATGATCTCCATGTGACTGACTCCTTTTCCCAACAAATTCTCATCACATGCTAGAAAATCTGCCACTCTGTTGATCTCTGACTTATTGCATCATAGTGCTAACAATTATGTAAAAAGACCTAGTTTGGGCATTATTTTTATCTATCCCTACCTCAGAAATAAAACGTGAGAAACAATCTCATCATGTTGTGCGAGTAAGTTGGACAGACTTACCATGAAAGTGATCACTCTACATACAAGACCACTTCCTTACTGAACTACATTAACTTCATTCCTTAGCTCAACCCCTCCAACTGTCAAACCATCCATACTGTTTGGCTTCAGTTCACAATACCAAAGGTTAGCATTCACCCTTTTACACACTAAACTGTCAAATAGAATCACAGCAAACTACTAAGCCCTACTTGCAGGTGTGTAAATTCCCCAACACTTAGCTAAAGCTTGGCATACTAAAATTATTGCTGACTTTGATGCCGAGGATAGCAAAAGTAAAACTATCTCAAGAAAACTGATGCAGGCATGAAACTTTGAAACTACAGCACTGGTCACAAGTCTAAGACATACTTCTCAGTGGCCTACAAGGCACAGATTTTCCAACACAAGACACGGTCAACAACGTGTTCACTTTCTTCACCCCTCAGAAGAAAGGCCTACCCCCTGTATTGATAAAGAACACAGCATTTCATAATCACTCCCTTTTCCTCCAGATTCTGTGCAAGCTTTAACTTATGTCTAGCTATAGACAGAAGACCTTTGACCAGAATTAAATTTTAACATAAATTAATATATGTATATCACAGCCAAGCAGGTAACTTTGGGGG